CACGTCTGCATGAACATCGGGTAGTAGTCATCATTAAAAAGAAGCACGTGATCAACATACTGGATTTTACTGATGTAGTACTAGGATATGAGCAACAAAGAACAAGTCGTTCAACTATTTCTATCAAAAAAATACAACGTTTGGAACATTTACCTCCCAGGTATAACTTAAATCATGATTTCAGCTCATGTCTAAAGAAGACTTCAAAATCTATTCAACATAAATGGGTGGGATGCCATTGCATATCTGCTTAACACCAAATAAAAAGCTTATTTTGCCCCTAAAATGAGGATTTATATTGTTATGACTTAAATCATTTGATTGCTTTCATATAATGTGTGACACCCTGCTAATTTACTGCCTCGTAATACCTCACTGTTACTTTCGCTTACTGAATGTTTAAACAGCCCCCGGTGTTGTTTAACAGGGTGAGCACTGTACAGCGTCAGTATCAGCTTGCAATGGGGGAAATGAAGACCATAGATTGAATTTTTGATTTGATGCATAGGTTTACTATCAGGTAGAGTTGACAGAGAGTACAAAGAAGTACTGTTTCAAGCTGCAGAGTTTAGGACAATCATTCAGATTGAATAACCTGATGCACTGCACAGCATTCAGGAGGTGCATTGCAAGAGTTACTACTCTCAGGCATTTTCTACAAACCCTTGTACCTGCAAAGACAAAGTACAGAATATAGCACAAAATATCACATCTATGCACAATTCTGAAAGTGTTTCCTACTTTTATTAAGTACAATTTTCATTTTTCCTTTTGTGCAAACTCTATTGTACTGTAAGGACTGACTAGTCATAATGTTAAGCAACCTAAAAGTCTGAACTAAACTCCTGCAAACACGTCATGGAGGAGGCATGTCAGTACATTGTAGTCACTGAAAAAGCTGTCCTAAATACAGCCTTTCTCTTTTTGATGAGCAGTAATCCATCTGATGCTTACATCTGTGTTTAGAGTCAACACTTAACCTTCTTGAGAGCCCTGGATGTGCAAACAAAAGTTAAGCACAGCCACAACAAGACAGGAGAGGCTGTCTCACACCATGTTGTGCCTGTTGTACATACTGAAAAGCACACAAAAAATGATGAGCACAATGCTTCGTATTACCAATTCCTTTACAGATCCAACACATTTTCTGCATTTTAATTAAACGCCAGAAAACGAGGACACGGCGGCACAAATACGCAGTACAACAATGAAGGATTTTGAGATGATGCTTGAAAAACATTGTATTTAGAGTCAAGCGCTCTTACAGAAAATGGCTTTGCAATGTCCTTCAAAAACAAAGCAAGTACACTTTTTTAAAAAAGAAAATCAAACCAGGAGCTACAAGCGCAACTTTTCACATTTAATCAACATTCAGTTTATCCGATGTTCTCAAACAGTCTGATAAAAAAAAAAGTAAATGCATTGTCATCTTGTGCTGTAGCAAGTCTTACAATGAAGCCCTTTAGAGTAAGAATACGTCTGAAAACATGATGAAGGCTCGGGCAGATCAACTATTATGTACACATACGTGAACTCTTTGGTTCTATGATCCATGTTTGATTCATTTATTACTTTTTTCCAATTTAACACACTTAATAAAATGAATGTTTTCATGTTTTGCAGTGACAGCGTGAACCACAAATCTAAGGAAAATATGATTCTGCTACATTTACTACTGCTGCCACTCTAAGTCATTTTAAATATTAGATCTATACTTGCTCTTGCTTCTACTACTGCTAAAGGGCACAATAGTGGTTTAACTATTAATCTATACATTTTTATTTTTTCAATTCATAACAGATTTGAATGGATCCTCGTATCCCAGCACAGAATAGACGTTCCCCTCTGATTGAACATCTGGTATCGTAAAATTGAGTTCAAAAGAAGAAATGTAAAACATAATTTTACCTCGAATGAGAATTAAGATGAACTATTATACAGTTTAGTCACCTTTAAACGAAATCCATGTTTGAGCTCATGTTTCATTCCCTCTCTGCCTGTCCCCAACTAATCAGTACCATTTATCAATTTCAGAGGTCAAATATGAAATGATGCTTCTTCAAACCATAGTCTGTATTCATTTTCCAGCTCTGGCCATCTGCGGTTTTTGCTCCAGGAAAAATTTAACCTGGCAATAATTTTGACAAACATATATGAATTGTGTCTTCTTAAAGACAAATCAGGTCAAGACAACTGTTTGTGTAACTGAATCAAAGCACTGTTGTGCACGTGATACACAGCCCACAGTAACTCAAAGACCCTGAATGCTTACGATGAGGCCTGCTTTGGCCTTTCACTGACAAACGCAATGAAAACGAAGAAACATGGCGGATTTGAAAAGATGCACTTTCACTGTATTTCTCCGAAAATAGCAACCAGCGTTTTTACTGTAATGCAATGACCTCTTTTAGCACATAGGACTAGTAGAAGTGGAGATTTCAATCAGATGACGAGGAAGTACTTGATATTCTTGAAAGATCTGGATCGTACCTACTTTAAAAATCTTATGCAGCTATTTTCTTTAGTGTCTCCTTTTTCTATCCTTTTTCTTTCAGTCCACAAACTGTTCTCATTAGCCTCGTTTCCAGCACCAGCTAATTTCAGAAAACAATCAAACGGGAGACGGAGTAAGCTAAAAACATGATAAAAAAGTGTAATCTAAAGCAGTTCATGAGACAGGTAGTTACAGAAGAGCAACACAAAGAAAAATCAAGAGTGAAAACTAGACTTCAAGTAGCCAGAAGCATCCTCCATTAAAAACTACCTAAGGTGATATTGAATGTAAGCCCTAGGCCACTGTTTGACTACTGCTTGGCTATTTTTTCCCCCGAATTCAGGATCACAACTAGGCTTAACGTAAACGAATACCAGCTCTCTAAGGAGAATTTTGAAATACATTCCAGAGGGTGATTTGGACATTTCTATCCCATATTAACAAGTTTACTTCTACCTAATCAAAATCTTACACTGGAGAATAAAGCACAGCCATAAAAAAGTCAGTAAAATTGATGTTATGGAACCTGCTAACAATCCTCACCTGCAACTCCACCCAATGTAATGCAAGAGAAATGAAGCACACCACATCCTAAATTCATTTTTCAAACCTTTGAAAAGTCATTTTTGTACCAAATATCTGGCCTAGATCCAGATCAGGATGCTTTATGAAGAAAGCATTAAAGAAAAATGGCAGCTACAGCTGGCAGACAAAGTGATTAATCCCGCTTTGCAAGGGTTTATTTTTCTATCTTTGTCCTGAGTGCTTTATTGTTGCATTGTTTTCATCATTCTGGAGGATTTTTAATTCTTAGGTAAATGAAAGCATCCGTGCTACAGTGCATCAGACTGCACAAAGCGTACCTAATAAACATAGAACTCAGTATGCAATCTGCTGACTGGTCTGAGCTGCAGACACAGCTGACTCATGCTCAACATACCAGATCCTGAGTACTTTTACAGAGCAGGAACAAACATGTGTGAACATATTTTGCCCATCTCCAGAGCCAGACTGCAGGACCTTTGGATAAGTCGGATCAGTCGAGTGCTTTTGCACACAGACTGGAGGTTTGCAGCGCACAAACCAGGACAAGAGGTGTCCAAATAAGGAAATGGTCAGATAAAAATAAAGGCTGCTTAACTTCCCAATCTTGGCCCTGAGCAGAACAGCGAGGGCTAAATATAAAATCTCGTGGTTTCTTGTGTCTCGCTTCCGCTGCACTTCACAGGTCCCCTACCATTTCATTAAACTATTGTTGCTCTCCTCTAAGCTCAGAAACCTCAAGGAAGACGGAGCTACACGCGAGAGTGAAGCTGAATAAATACAGCAGCGTATCATTACATACAAAATAACTTTGATTACTGCCTCAGTGTGCCAGTAGTGTAAAATGGCACACCACATTTGTACAACTACATTGTCCCGTTCCCCCGGCACTTGTCACATTTGAGAACGTCTACAGAAATGTACACAATACTTTGAGAAATCCTTTTAAAATGTCTCTGGAAAAATCACGAGGCTCAAAGAAGATTTTCCACAAATAATCACAACTGAACACTTTCCCTTTGTGCTCTCTAGTGTTTCGTGTCTCCGTCCTGGGGTTTGGTACCATGGCAGTATGCTCAATAGGCTTTATTTAGAGTGCTGCTCTGCAGAGTGAGGCGCCAAACGACCACAGATCCCAATGGTTCTGCAGCCAAATCAGAAGCTTGATACTCTGTGTGCTCTCAGCAGTCCACAGGGACACAGGAAGGAGGTGTCCTCTTCTGCCGTGTCAGTACTTATTAATCCCAAAGATCCTCACACCGTGCAGCTGGGGCAGCTTGGGAATGAGTACCGTGAGCAAGGAGACAGTGTTGACAACAAAATGGGCCCGATCGTATTTGGTGTAGAAGCTGGTTAATATATACCTGAATCAAGAATAGGCACAAAAAAGGAGAAGATTACAATGAGCAAAGGACATAAAGCTTATGTCTAGATTTCTCTCTGCTGGTGTGAAAGCAAGGCAGTCCGTTAAAAGCCTGAAGAAAACCACAATGTCTTTATAAAATGTCACTCTATGTATAAAAAAACCTTTCACTTAGTTTTATTCTGCCAATCACACCCAGATGTTTCCTAACTCCCAAAAGCTGTGCCAGCAGTTGTCCTGTGAGACCATTTTAACGTGCCAAACAACAGAATTACAACACTGGTAATGAGCAAATGAGTTGATATGAGAATCTGTAAGCCTAAATCTACATTAGGCTTCCAAGCACCAACAAGCTAAAAAGTCCATCTAATTTAATCCCAGCATGCATGTTAGGCTAACTGATGATTCCAATTTTGACGAGGATGAGAAGCAGATAAAACACTTAAAGTGGTTTATGAATATGAGATGATTTATCTGAAGTTCGCGAGCAGGACCACATAAACATTCCCTTTTGAGGCTTATCTACAGATGCCCACTTGTCCCACACAGCAGTTGTTCTCCTTGCTCTCCCTCCCCTCTTCCTCTGTCTGTCATCCTCTCTCAGAGGTTTCAGGGGACTTAACTGGCTCAGGAGCCACTGCCCATCCTCAAGAGGCCTCAAGAGGCCTTCCACACACTGCAGTCTCTGGTCAAGCTCTGTCTCGTTATCAAAAAACGTTGTTTTTTTTCATTTACATTTGGGGTTGTTAGAATGGTCTAAAGATCTAAGGCTAGATTTCATGTATAACACAATATATTTGTTCATAAATAGTACATATTCTATTACCTATTCAATATTTCTACATTCAGTGATGACACCTAATCAACATATCTATAAAGCTTCCGTTTATCACAGAAATTTTTCAACTTACAACAACCTGAAAAATTATTTGTAGAATTGAACCTTCGGCCACAATTCAACCCGGCCTGCGACATCATAAAAAGTAAAAGTAGTGGGTCTTCACAATAGAGGTATAAAAGTTTGAGGTTGGAGACATAATATATAATACATATTAAGATTCTAATGATTGTAAAGTCTAGAGTCTCTATTTAAAAGATAATTCAACATCTTTCATGAGTGCAGTGGGGCATATGAGGAAGATTTAAGCTAGTTTTTTATTGTAACCTCAGAGGAAACCAAAGTAAAATATGAGAAGTAAAAACAAACGGCTGCTTATAGAGTTTACCAGAATTCAGCAATGTGTGCATCTGATTTCACAGTTCTTCATCATGTGGTCCTACACTTGTTTTATTGATTATTTATCATTTTTATTATGGCCCCCTGAAAAAAACAAAAGAACCACATACATACCACATCCATGTATATAAACTCGGCTTGTGTGCTGGCTGTATGTGTGCAGAGTTGTGTTAATCCTGGTGAGATGGTGGAATAAATAAAACTATGCTGATTTAATATGAGTCGCACTTTTAGGTGTGGCAGTAAGGGATTTTTGTTAAGTGAGAATGATGAATTGCATTTCCTGCTCTCAGCGGAACAGGTAAGGACATGTACAAAAACACTCCCAGAAGATTTCAGCAGATGTGTAGCCATTACATCTGGAGTCTAAAGACTGACCGCTCACTTCTTCCTGCTGGCAGTGGTTGCAAAACAAAATGACAAAGAGCCCCTTTAAATAAGTGCAAAAACAAAGTCCACACCTGCAAAAGCGCTATCGCTACAATGTTCGTGCTGAGCTGGCAAATAAACCCTGGGGAAGCAGAGTGCTTCCTGTAAACTGAACTGTGGTGGTTAATAAGGACAGAAAAAGGCCAAGAAAGCAGCAAGCGGCACTTCTGCAAACACTGTGCCCCTTCTCAATTTGCAGGCTTGGCTAATAAGGGAGCAGCGTGTATGCTAATCAATCCACACTCACACCAAAGGAAAATAAGCGCTGAATTTTATAATGCAGCATATATTTCTCCACTGAGGTATAAGTGTGTGCAAGTTCACTCTGAATAAAAGGTACTGGCATTCTGATTAAGCCACAAACACACAGGTTCATTCAAAGAGAGCTGCTTTTGCTTTAGGCCTGTCACACAAAAGTGCTGATGGATGACAAGGTAGTGAGACGTGTCCTTGTCAGAGAACTGATGACCTACTCTGGTTGTCATTTCCTGTCTACACTCTCCTTAGACCTAACATACTTGCTTAAGGTATTGTCCCATTATATTGTCCTCTATGGTTTTCTGCGGTCCTCAAAAAGCCGCATTAAACAGAAAAGCAGAGGAATGCAACTTACAGGACAATAGGTGTGATGGTGAGGAACTTCCGTGAAGCCGTAAACTGCACACCGTAGTCCATCTGCTCCCAGTGTGTAAGGAGGCGAGCTTTGCCTTGATCAGGGGTCTCGAAAGGTGTCCCTTTGACTGTATGAAGAAGCAGGTACATGCACTACAGAGAAGGGGAAAAACAGAACACTGTTGCCACACATGATTGCCACACTAGTGGATTATTGATATGTGAATACAAGAATAAACTTCGTTAAGTACAAAATCTTCCAGGAAGTTAACTTACTAAGGTCTTCCTCTTCTTCTTCTTTTAAAATAAATCGAAATCTACTGTAAAGCTCATAAGTAAAAGTCAGATGTGTTCTCAATATTAGGAACACTTTTAAGCTGCATGATGAAACAGCCCATGCCTCAACTAGCAAATTCACTTGTGTAACAGGATCACGGTGTGGTTGCGCTCTTCTCAAGAAATGTGGGCCTGTCCAAGTTGGAAAGAAAAAAAAAAAGGAACTATGAAAAAACAACAACAAAAAACAAGAAGCTTGTTAAAGAATCACCTCATTAACCAAAGGCATGTCTAAGAGCAGTGAAGCAGCAAGCAGTTGTGTCTCTGACTCAGCTCTCAACTTACTCCCATTCACCACATCCTAAACCTCTTTACTGTGCTGCACGTGCCCTCGACTTGATTTGACCTGACTTGACCTAGTCAATAAAGGTTAAGGCAAACTGTGGCAGTGCTGGTCCTTTGAGGGACACCACTACACCACTAACCAGATTATGGATGAGGTTGGTGAGGGTCCAGACCACGGGCACACTGGCAAAGGGGATGCTCAGCAGGATGATATGAAGGAGGCCGATGCCCAGGATGTAAGACAGCCACATACCCCGGCTGTTCATCACTCGGGTGTTGGGGTTAACCTCACTGTGTGCTGTTCCCACGTTCATGATGGCGGTGGTAAGACTGTGTAACTGTCTCCTGAAACAAAAACCAAAGATCTACAACCTCTAATGGTAAGCAGTCATATTTAAAGGGTTATACAGACACCTGTAGTGAACTCAACTAAAAGAAAATGAATCATGTAGCTTGGTTGCCCTTAAATGAAACTGCATAAAGGAAAATAATTACTTCTATGTATTACTATGTATTGCAATAAAGCAACAGTAGGTTATATGATGGCTTTAACCTGACATCTGCAAGCCAATCAGATGCCTTTGCCGTGGTATAAATGGAGAAAACATTAAAATATGATCAAATGAGATTTACACATTTTAAGAAGTAGCCTTGTGCATGAATAAAGCTGGTGTCTACTGGTTCAGTAGCAACTGATTGACTAGAGTAAACAATGTCGCAAGCGCTGATCATTCCAGCATGCTCTTTTGCAAGTTGTCTGGAAACATCACTGGAGACAATTGATCCTTTAAAAGATCTTGAAGTGAAGCATGGAAGCAAAAACAGCAAAAAACAAGAAAAGTTCAAATGCGTTGGGTTAATTAATGAAATCATTGTGCTTACTGCAGAGAAAAATGGCTTCAACTCCGACCTTTACGGGCACTACTCCGTTATCACAGTTTTTCCGTTATCGATGGCTTCAGTTATGTAACTAATACTATCCCTGCGCGGCTGATGAGTCTGCGGGGCTTCCATTAGTCGCCCGGTTCCCCTCCTTCAGTTCCGAACGTGTCTCTAAGCCCTACGGTCCACTCGTGAACACGCAATCCATCGAGACGCGTCCACTTTTCTTTCGTCTTCTTTTAGCCAACAGCTGGTGACAACACAGCACGGTCCACGGTGTTACGTCATCGTCGCTCTCTCTCGGCACACGTTTCGGCGGAGTTTTTTTGCTCCTCGCAATTTTCTGTGATAAGTCATGTTCGAGTCACGTGAGCTAATCTGGCCAATCACAGCGGAGTGCGCTGAAAACACGTAGCTACGTCTCCCTGACGTCAGGGCAGAGGAGGAGCTCAGGGAAAAGTGATTGACACTTAAGCTACGTTTAATAACAAGAATCCTGATTTTTAAAACGAGGAGATATAGTTTATGCAATTAAATTGCTTATATTTTTATTTTTAAACAAACAAAAATAACTATCTAAATAAATAAATAAAAACGTTGTGGTTCTGATCACAAAAAACTAAAAAATATATGTAAAATAATTGTATTATTGTATTATTAATAAAATAATTGCCTTACACTTAAGTATATAATACTAAATCCATTTATAGCAGCACCTTTACGTTCGTGCTGAATTGACCTGGAATTTAGCACATTAGGGACAAATAATATGGCATTTTAGTCAAATGCTATTTTCCCAGTTCCCTGAGTAAATTTAGGCAAATTCAATGAACATAAAATATTTGTTTCATCATCTTCTAACACACCTTGTATCAATAAATGTAAAAAGTTAAGTTAATGTTCTGTCTGGTAATAATCATTGGCTTTCAGTTGCAACACAACCTTAGATTGGCCATTGGCTCCATAATTTAGTTGTTTCCACATTCCCCTAACAAGGAAGTATGCCTAGTTTGAGCCAGTGACAAGATAAAAATCCCCTAGGGGTTGAGGCGGGAAGGTCATCTGCAGTAAAAATCTGTCAATCTGGCACCATATTTGATGTGTCGTGCAGTGGCATCCCCTTGTGAATAAGCTAAAAGGAGCCAGCTAGCTACTGAGATTTGCATTTCACTTCTTGTTTTTAGCCCCAGGAGCTTTGTGAGACTGACATGCACTGTTTCACTTCATGTCGCTATTCACCACCATGTGAAATATCAAAATTACAATAACAAAGGCAAAAAATTCCACCAGTGTCATCCTGTTATAAGTAGCTTCATAGTCTTTATTGTTGCTGCATTTGCTTGTCTTTAAGGTATTTTCCATCATATTCCACTGAAATCTGCAAAGCTTTAGACTTGGTGACTTCCCCTGTTTGTTTTCCCCTGTTTGGCATACTGTAGCCAAGGCAGCAAGAGAGTGTGACGATAACATGCACATGATTCATGATGATGGTCTTTGTTCATAACCACTGGATAGCAGTGCCTTTGAAAACTAGACTAAATCAAAATGTTACACACTGTCACAGTTACAGGATGTCGTGACAAAGGACAAAAAATATTGCAGGGACACCTGGTCACCATACTTTCCCCCTCGGGATTAATAAAGTATTCTGATTCTGATTCTGATGTCAGCAGAGTAAGGCTCTAGCCGCCCACAGCCCTAAGTTGGAGAAGCTGCTGAAGGGCTGTTTTTTTTATAGTGCGCATGCGCCAACCAGCGTGCAGCCTGTTACAGTCACTCCTGCTTTTTCTCTTAGTTTAGCTCTTTTTTCTTACGTATTCTTTTTTCTTCTGACTTGTATTTTCACTATTCTTAGTTAGTGTATTGTCTGTCTTGTTAATGTTGGTTTATGTTGGTTTATAATGGAGCACTGTAACAAAAAAATATTTTCCCCCAGGGATCAATAAAGTATTCTGATTCTCATTCTGATTTTTTTGGGGTTTTTTTTTAGAAAAACAAACATTTTATAAATATATGATGGAACAGAGAGATTAAAACACAAAATTATCTAGAGATCATCCTGCAATGGACTCCAGCTGCTACAGAAATTGGTCTTTAGACAATTCTTGAAATATATTTGTACATCACAAGTTACCAATGAATCCATACATTCATCCTCTGCTGCTTATTAGTTACATTTCATCTCTGGCTTTCTTCCACAGCGTTTCTTTGTCCTGTCTTCCTCCCCTCACTCCCAGCTGGTCACAACAGATGGCTGCTCCTCCCTAAGCCTGGTTCTGCTGGAGTTTTCTTCCTGTTAAAAGGGAGTTTTTCCTTTCCCCTGTCGCCAAAGCATTTCCCCAAAGCAGGTCATCTTAATATTGGGGTTTTCGCTGTTTTTTCTGTATTATTGTAGGGTCTTTACCTTACAATATAAAGAATCTCGAGGTAAATGTTGGCATGATTTGGTGCTAGATAAATAAAACTGAATTAAAGTGAATATTCTGATAAAATCCCAATGACAGTGAGTCTTCACAGACACTACATTAGGTTTCAACAGGCTAGCATTTTGCCACAGTAACACACAAAGAGTCAAAAACAGTCTCAGCCACGCTCTCACAGCTGGTATAAATTCCAAAATTGTGGGCAGCAAAATCTTTATACACACACATAAAAGAAAGCTCTCGATTCTTCATGTAGCCAAGATGAGAAGAGACCTTGCTAGAGGCAACAGTAAATGTCTAACGTGGATCATACTGTGGTTTCAAAATCAAAAGATCAACAGTGTCATATTCTAGATCCCAAGATAAACCCATATACTAACTTTGGCCCACAGTAGCCTGAAGCGAAGGGGGTCATCAGTCCTCTGCTTGTATGAAATGTTATGTGACACCTACTGTATCTAAGGGTACCCCTGTGATGAGTGGCATCAAACGGGTTTAGCCATCTGACAGTGGACTGTCTCGTGTGCTCATAGCCTTGGGAGTTATAGTTGTGTCAGATATGTAAACCTAGAGCTCTGCTCAAATGAGAACTATGGATGTCAGTGCTGTGAGATCATCTCTGGCAATGGAACAATGACCAAGTACATGACACTGATAAAATACATATAAGGAGGAGGGAGATAATGAAAGTACTCATGTGGGCACGTATGACACCAAGAGATGAGTATTTCAGTGATTTCACCATGAGTGTGCAAATGATGGTGTGGGTAAACCTTAATAACAAAATGTAATTAAGAAAAATGGGTTTTGTTATATGTTAAAATGCCATTTTAAATCATTAGCTTTTGGTTTAGTCCAGAGCACCATTTAATAGTTGTCTTACAACTTTGGTTACCACTGATGATGATAGATCAAAGCTTCGGTGTCGTGCGGTTGCATTCATTTCTCCACAGCTATAAATCTAACAGATGTTTAGACATATTCCTCTGTAAACTCCACTTCTCTACTCTTAGGGTTTTGCCTACGGCTCATTTAGCTAAGTCTTTCAGATGTAATGCGATTCCATTAATAGGATGCATGCCAGTAACAAGAGCTTTTAATGATGAGATGCATTTCATATTTCCCTGTCTCCCTTAAGATGCGGGTCAAGTGTAAATTCTTTGCATGGTTTTAGCCAGGAATATTTTTTTCGAGGCATAAATCTGTATCCAATTATCATCCATAGGTTTACAGACTTACTGTAGCTCCATGCGTGTATTCTGGGAAGAACATTTTAACAAAAAATGGGACAGGGAAAAAAAATCTGTACCCAGGAACTTCACCATATATATTTGTTGCTGTTACAAAAAATGTAAATCATGTGTTATAGCGCTGTTTAAACAATTAGTTGAATGCTTCTTTGTTTTTCCTACATTGTTTCAAGTCCAAATATTGCTGTGTAATTTGAAAAAAATCATAACCTTTTCAAAATTAAACTAGTGTAGCTTCCATTAGTCATGAAATCAGGAATGAAATTTGTAAGCAGTTATATATTCTGTGATGTGGCAAAAAAAAATCTAACTCAAAGCATTCTTTAGTATATTGCACCAGATAATGTTATAATATCACAGTTTTAGCTAAATGAGTCAAAGAATACACAGTCAGTTTGGTCCGTTTAAAAAAAGACTCCCAAGTTTAACTTTCACAGTTTGAATTCTGCTTCTACAAGGTTTGAAAAAGTCAGTTTTTTGTACATCTCTTGCTACTGATACCATAAATATTAGTGAGTATTTTGCACCTGTATATTTCACTCATCAGACTGCAATATGCAGATAAACAGCAGCGTCTGATTGTAGAAGACCAGCAGATGTCACCATCAACACACTTTGAACTGGTTGCTGCCATCCTGGAGTCTGGACTGTGAGTGCTTCTACTCTTAAAGACACAACTGTGGAGGCACAGTGATATAATATGAGGTATAATTATTAATTATCATAATTAAGTCCCACTTTTTTCTGTCATTCTAAGCAGCAAAGAAACTTAGGAGGTAATGAGCCTCTTCTTAGGTGTTTAAAATGAAGTTGTTATATATAATGAACTCAGTGCCTGTCTAAATGCACTCATGTCATAGGACCAAGTTTCCACTTTAGTAAATTAAGTTAACAAGACTATAAGGCTAGGCAATGCAAGTATGAGCTTTACACAACATATAAAGTATAATCTGTACTCATCACTTCTTCGAGAACATTTACATTTTAGTTCATCCAGTATCTTGTATTTCCAGCACTTTCTAGACATCTACTAACTTGTGAGTTCAGAATCTCAATGAATTGCAGCCACAAGGGAATTGTTCAAATTTTAAAAAGCTGATAGAGACTGTGAAAAGAGAAAAATAAAATAAAAGAATTATAAAAATCAGGAAGTGCTGCAGAGAAAGGATTTGGGCAAATCAGTGTCGCACCTTTAATTAACGCATCGGAGCAATGCTTTAGAGACGTTACCTGAAAATACAGAAATATCTAGCCACAAACACGGATATGTTCTTAAGGTCAGTGGCGTTGGGGTTTTATGGCCTGTGGATGGGCTGCTTGTGACAGGAATGACACTGCCGGGGTAATTTTCTCCAGTAGGAGGGGTGGACTTGTGACCCAGGCAGGCTTGGATGATAGCCTCGCTGGAAAAGGCTGACGCAGGGAGTCCATTATTGCCCCTGGAGGAAGCGGAGGATTAGAACACCAAAGAATTTCAATAAAAGAAGTGTCTGTTTGGGGGTCGGGGAGAGGCAGAAGGATGGTGAAGGTGGTAGGGTGCTGGGGGGGAGTTCCCCTCATTGTCCCAGCAGTGATTGAGAGCAAGAGGAGGGGAGTGGGACAGCATTGTGTTTGCAGCTTCTCTGAAGAAGGTGGTTATTAGGGGGGATGGCTAAAGAGGGGTGAGGGATGGGGAGGCTGTTGACTCTTCATCTTGTGTGAACAAAGTCTCTGGCACATAGCCCTCTTCTGTCCCTCTGTCCTGGACACCCTTGTCTACGAGTGCCATGAATTCTGTCCCTCTTGCTGGGGACCCCCACCAACTCCAACCTGCACCGCCACACATTGTGGGGCTTAAGTGCCC